GTGGTTTCAGCTTTGCAGAGAAACGAAAACATAGGCAGACAAACAGCAGCCATGAGTGTCAATTTTTTTTTTTAAAATGTAAGTTAGTTAATATTTGTTTCTCGGAGGCAAATTTAAAATTTGTTAATTGAAAAATAATTACAAGTTTAAGCTATATTGTTTGAATCTTATATTTTAATCCGATGGACTTACTCTTTTCCTCAAATGGAGAAATTAGCATTTTGCCGGACATAGATCTTCACTTTAAAAGCATCTTTGAAAAGAAAAAGGAATCGCAAGGAGAAATTTTAAAAGTCTCTTTGTATTTATTTACAATATATATTAACATCAAGTCCCCTGATTAAAATAGCCTTTTTTTGTTCGTAAAATTATGCTGTGTAACAATTAAAAAAAATTCAAATTTTATAATTTTATGGGCATAACCATTTCGAAGTTCGCTCAAAAACGGGGCATGATATCTTTAGATAGAACACGTGGATGCAAAAAATGTACTTAAAACTTTATTTGCAAAACATTTAAAGGATTCAAAAGCCAATCGATGCATATAAAAATAACATTATTTTATATCAAAATGTTCTTTAAATGTTTTGTTAAATGTGCACGAAATTTCAAATTTATATTAACGTATAATTTTTGCGTTATGAGAGTAAGAAGTGTAGAAATTTTTTGAAATAGCGGTGACTGCTACAACTATATTTCTTTATTACAGAGGTAATTTTTACGCTTACAATGTATTGTAAATTGCACCATACAGTACAAAATACATCGATAACAGAAAAAAAAATTTGATTTAATTTTACATTAAAAGGAATCTGCACATTAATGTATCAATATTAGTGATTTTAGATTCTTAGAAACACACTTGAAAAAAATGATGTGAGAAAAAAAATGTGAAGTATAAAATTCATTTTAATTTAAATGTTTTGAATTAATTTGTTTGAGCCCTCTGTCGAGGGAGACTTGACCCCTTGTCGGGCAGAGTCTGGCGCCATCCTTGAACTGCAGTAAAGACTTTTTTTGGAACGGTCAAGTAACTTAAATATTTTTAAAAATTTTTTTAAAGTATCGATAATTTGAAGAGATTTTTCAACCTGCATGAAAATTATCAACGTCTTAATTTTTGCAAATTTTATGAGTTCAGATAAGGCAAGGTAGTTTTTTTATAGACTAAGCAAAGCTTTTCTGGAGTTTTCTTTTTCATATTGACGTAACAAGCTGAAAATAGAATTGATCTAATAATTCACAAGAAAGTGTTATTTAATTGGAAAACAACCTACTTTTTTGATTTTATAACCAACGTTGAATAATCATCCTAATTTTGGGTTTACAACTTCCAATGTTCAATTCCGTAGCCTTGTAATTTTGAACCCATTCCAGAAGACAAGGGAACTCCCGATTCAAGTAATGGGAGAAATCTGCCTTCGTGGAGACTGATGGAACTAACCGCATTAGTGTTACACGGAGAGGAAAACCTCAGAAACACCTCACGGTTTGCCTGACGGCAAGGGGACTCTGGGCTGGTATTGTGAGCTCGAAGTCGACAGTCGATTTGAGCTTTTGGAAGCCGCACCAGGGGGAGCTTTACCTGATACTCTACTTTTCCCTCCCATTGCTCGATTTTTAGTATTCCAAGCAAATTTTAGTGAATCTTGAGCGCTCTTTTCGGTCGACGCGAAAACCATTGGTATTTTCAGTAGAGTAATGGCGAGCACATGGAATGCATTGATAATTAATTATTTTACACTGCTAAGTCTTCGGAGGCGACCGATATATCGAAACAGAGATGATGCTTTTAGTCTTCATGACGATGTATTTTCATATTTTTTTCGATTAACGAAAAATCTTGTACGGTATTTATGCGTGAAACTAGGAGAGGACTTGGAAAAAGAAGCAAGGCGAGGAAACGTGATTTCAGTAGAAACGCAAGTTAAATTTAATTTATTTTCAATATCATGAGCATATCTTTTTTTCTTCTTTTTTTTTTTTTTTTGAGACGGAGTCTCACTCTGTTGNTTTTTTTTTTTTTTTTTTTTTTTTTTTTTTTGAAAAAAAAAAACTTATTGAATTTAATTTTTCTTTGCTATATGCGAATAAATACGTATTTTTGGGATTGTAACAGTATATATTTGATGATTCCTATTAGGTAAAATTGTAAATGTTAATTTTTTCTGGCTAAAAATTTTGTAGAATTTTTTATTTTCTTATTATTTAATTAGATTATCCAAAGTTAAGTTGTAAATAATAAATATTGATGATTAATAACCAGAAATTGTCTCAATTTTCTTAGAAAATCTTTTACTCCACTGAGAAACAAGTGTGTCATTTTTTAATTACTTTTTATAATCTTAAAAAGACACTGCAGATAGGAATTTAATGTGTTAAATTACGCTTTTTATTTCTTTTTAATTTAAGACCTTGTAATTTTTATTAGTTTTATATATAATAAAAAGTTTGCTGTAATTTCTTTCATTTCTGAAGCAAGGTAGATAAATTTAACTTTGAAGTATTTTCTTTTTTAATCAATATGGAAAAGATATGATTACAAAGTGTTTTTGAACTAAAATTTCAGAAAGAAAAAAAATTAAGTTTTCACAACCTCGCATGTTTATGTGAGACTTTTTTCTGAATTCTTTTCAAAAAATTTCAACTTTTTTAAATTTTAAATAGTTAAATTTCTATTTCTTCTAGGTATTGTTTGCATTATTTCCAGTAAAAAAGATTAATTTTAAAACTAAATTACTTTTAAGTCCTATTCAACTTGTAATGTGGAATATTTGAATAGAGCTATTCATAACTGTTTATTATTCATAACTGTTTATTACATTCATAGGTTTTATGTGCCTTAAGATTTTTTGCAACTATCCAAAAAAAAAAAAAAAAAAAGGCGCTTTCATACAATCAACAAAATGAAAAAGTTTTTAGCACTTTTGTTAGATTTTAGGTTCAAATCAAATTTACAGTGGTTCTAATATTACCATAAAAACTGAAAATGGGACATAAACAAATACTTAAGTGAATAATAAAGTATTTTATAACTATGAAACTATACTATAATTCACTATACTTAAAATCTTTGAAAAATCTTTTTTAACTTAAAACTAATATTGCTGAACATGGTAATTGTAATATGTAGTACATAAATTGCTTGACAAATTAATAACTACATATTTCGAATCTCTCAAAGTGAATTTTTTCTTATAGTTAAAATTTTATAAAAGTTTTGTTAAAGAGAGTTCAAAACATTTTCCATGTAACAAAGAGGTCCATATAATGAACTTTAATGTTTATCTTTTCATCATTTGTTTGGTATTGTAGCGTATCTACCACTACTAAATTACAACTACAATTCACTAGTATATAAGACATGTTAACTCGACTCTATGTCGGGGTACCTTTTCATAGATGACGGTTGACATGGTCGATTACTCCGCCCCCACAGTATTTATCAAATTTCACCCGTATAAGAATAATGAAGCATAAAATAAAAGTTTTACTTGAAAATAGAATTTAAACTGCAAATTATACTTTCTTTTATTATCAACACAAATAAAGTGATATAAATACTACCTTCGTAAATAAAAAAAAGCTTTCCCTCACCTCTATTATGAGTATTGTAATAGAGGGAGTAAATCATAATTAGAAAAATTCGTAATTTTCAAAGGGCAAAGTGAAAACCATCTGTTTAGCAACATAAAGTGATATGTAGCAAGAATGCTGTTGATATTTAAAAATTTTAAAATTTTAATTTTTTTCTGGATCTTTTCTACTATCCACATAATATTAAACGCAATTAAAAGTTCAGTTCTTTGAAAAAAAAAGAGAAAAAAAAGCATACATGTGATATGCCAATACGATGTATTCTTGTAATACAATTCTGAAAAACAAAATTTGGTTTTTTAATCGCTATTAGAATAAGCAAACCAAAGATCTAATTGCAACTCAATAACACATGCTAATAATAATAGCACATATTAGATTTTTAATTATCAGACTTGTAAATAAAATTTATCTAATAGGTCAATGTTTATTATTATCAAAAATAACAAAAAAATTTATCATTTCGGAGATGTATATAAAATTTATTTAATAAATGTAAATATCAAATATTAGTGCAATAAAATAAAAGTAAAGTTTGCAATATTTAGTCTCAAATAAATCTCAAGAGACAATATTTTATCTCAAATAGATACTGAACCAAAATGCCTTTTTCAACAGCTTGTCGAGCGTGAATTGCATCAGAATGCTTCCAGCATTTTTATTGACTGATGGCACGGAAGAAGCTTCACCCCCACTCTTCTCATGAAGTAGACCAGTCCACGAGCCTACTCCACTGATATTAGCGATCAGAATACCGAAATTCAAAACAGTGGACGGTGTGACGTCAGGGGAAGGCGTCACTCGGGAAATTCTACTTCGACTAGTTATTTCTTTGGTATCCGAGCCCTGACCCATGATCCGTCTGCCACTGAGGATATTTTGTGTCAGCATTGTGGTCTGTGCAAGTCGGCCAATACAGCAAGTCGAACAGCCATCTCTGGGAATCGAACCCAGTTCACCTCATTGGAAGGCGAACGCTCTATCTTCTGAGCCATCACGGCTCATAATAACCTACTTCAAAAAAACAAAACAAAAAAAATAGGGAATCTTACAAATTACTGTAGAGAAAAGCACCTACTTCAAAAAAAGGGAATCCTACAAATTACTGTAGAGAAAAGCACCTACTTAAAAAAAATTGAATCTTACAAATTACTGTAGAGAAAAGCACCTACTTCAAAAAAAGGGAATCTTACAAATTACTGTAGAGAAAAGCATTTCAATTGAAGGCTAAAATATGTTTCTAATAAGTCTTTCCGACCGCATTCTAATCTGTCTTGTTTATTAGTGTGATTTGTCAGATTTTCTTTTTCCCCAAATATTAACCCCTTATATGATACTACTTTGTTTTCATTTGGATAAGAATTTCAAAAATACAATTCTTGTATAATTATTATTATTTTCAGCCGTTTTCTTATGAGTGGAAAATTTAGAACAGATAAAAAGGAAGTTTTTTTGTATAGTAGTGACATTTCTTCCAATTTTCAGGTAAATAAACATTTTTTATTCTTTTTTACATGTTTACACTCAAATGTTTTTTGGGAGGAAATTTTGTTCTGCAAGTTTGAGTATGTAACACATTGGAACGCGTGCAGTAAATGGATAATCACATTGTGACAGAAATTAAACAAAAAACGCAATGAAGTTATTTAAGTTAACATAATGTCAAGATTCAATTAAACTATATACATTTATTTATTGACTCCACGTTCAATGGCAAAATTGATGCGCTTTCTACTTTTAAAATGTTCAAATACCCGATTAATTAAAATAAATATTGAGTTCAATCATCGCAGTCATATAATTTTTTTTACAGAGTGAAATTTTTTTGTGCATCTTAACACCAAAAATGGTGGAAACTACATATGTTTATAAATCACAGAGAGACGAATTAACAGAATGGAAGCTGATGGAAATTACACTATATAATATGCAGTTCACTGAAATTAAAATAAAATTAAATTTAACTAATTTTTTTATGTTATTCTCGATCATTTATTATTTAAAGGTCCCGCAGTGGATTGATCGTAAAGACACGGTTCCCAGTAGAACACCGAAGTCAAGCATCACTGGCTGCGGTCAGTTAGCGGGTGGGTGACCACTTGGTTCAGGGTGTGCGGTATTGGTCCTCTTTAAACTGTTCTACCATAAAGTGCTCGACTTCGCGTGCAGGTCGTTTGGCTACCGAAACGGGGATGCCATCCCCTCTGCAGAGGATTGAATTAGTGAAGTCATGTCTTCGGATCATCCTCAGGCATGTTCCCCAGATCGTCACTAATATCCCATTGTGCAGCTCTAGTGCGACGTAAATGAACTATTACTACTACTACTATTATTCAAAGCTAAACGCTTTTTCTCACTTTAATATCCACATCTTCTCTTTTAATGTATTTTTAGTTCAGTATGTATAAATTAACATTTTGGATTTTTCCCTTTAATTGAACCGTAGGAAAGACTTTTTCCTCAATAACATAGACCAATTAAACAGACCAAAATATTCAGATTTCAATTATTCCCTAAGACTAAACATATTACGGATTTATTTTGCACGACCTTCCCTAATTTTTGTTCCGAGACCACTTCGATTTGTGTTTCACCTGAATATTCTTTCTCTTATTATGATCTTTTAAATCGTGTGCCTGTTTGTCCTACTCACCCGACTGCTCTCCACACACACACACACACACACACACATATACANCATTGTATGACGAATAAACAAAAGTTGAAATTCTTTACTTGTTTTAAGGTGTATCTTTTTTCAACTCCAAAATTTTAGGTTTAGTTTCTAGTTACATTGATACAAGCCAAGACTGAAACGTGTGAATTTAATCGTAAAAATATTTTAAAGGTTACCATATATATATATATATTCCGAGGGAGCATTCCGCCGGGAGACCCTAGCTGGTCCTGCACGAACAGAACAGCACCTACAGCATGAACCCGAAAAGCCCACGGGCGAATAGCAATCTAATCTTTTGTAAAAATCCAAAATTTCATTAAAATACAATAGAACACAAGGTATGAAATTGTAATAAAGTCAATAAAATCTAAGAATACAATAAAATCGTTAAAGTATACATTCGAACATTAAAATGGTTAAACTGCAAAATATTAATTAAAATGCAAATGTTATTAAAATATAGTTTGTCTAAAGTAAAAACTGCCATAGCTATACGTGTTGACCTATGGAGGTATATGGTAACGAGGTATAACAATTTAAAGTAGAGGTGTGGGATCATTGCTTAAACAAGGTTTGGTTCGGGTCAGTCAGAGAATCTTTTTCTTTGGTCAATTGTTTCAGAAGCTACCCAAGTCAAAATTCTTAATGGTCCCATAAAATTTGTCTCGAGCATAATAGTTTTCGATAAAATACATCTATTTACGACGATACAATTATTGCATTGACTACAAAGGCTAACTAAATATTTAATTTATGACGATTCAAAATTGTTGTAATTTGTTTATTGTTACATACAAAGGAGAGGTATGCTTGCGTAAGATACTGAATTAAATATGATTGTTGTGACTAGTCATTAATGTCCAGCATAATAATATCGTGAAAAATCCAGAAAATGTCTATTTTTTAAACAGTTAATTAAAAATTGGAAAACTGTTACACTTAATTGTAATGATAATTGCAATTAATTACTAAAGTGGAAAATTGTAAAAAGATTCCAAAGTCGTGCAATTTTAATAATCATCTGCTTTGAAATATGTTACGTACGCAATTTTAAACCTATTTTGATAATAAAAANAAAAAAAAAAAAAAAAAAAAAAAAAAAAAAAAAAAAAAAAAAAAAAAAAAAACGCATCAAGAGGGTTAGCATACTTTTTACAAAAATTGGGAATACAATTTTTTCTTATATTTCGGCATAAGAGAATAAGAATGACCAAGGAACTTTCTGAATAATTTCTTTGCTTCCAGAATCGAAACATATTATTGCTTTATAGCTAAAACAATTAAATTATTCTTATTTATTTAAGTTTGTTGAGAGCGGTATCAAGGATAAGGATAAGCCACGTTTATTGCATTAAATAATATAGCTTGAATAATTTGTTTCAATCAAATTATTTAATTTTTTTAAGCAAATAAGGGTGTAAAATACACCTAAAGTATATTCTAAAATATATCTAGAATAAATTTTGAAATCGATAAATATAAAATACGTTTTCAAACAATTTTAAGTCTAACGGAAACGTTAACTTGACTTAATTGACTAACTTGAAGGATATAACAAGTCTCCGGAGAAATCTTGCATTTTTTTACATTTTTTAAATTTGCAAATAAATATGAATGGTGTTTTCTACGCTAGGGAGCTCTGCAAGCTCTTAAATGCCTATGGATGGTGTTTTCTACACTAGGGAACGCTGCAAGCTCGGTACCGCCTAAATTTCCGGGTTATTGTTTCTGTTGTATTTTAAAGCCATTTGGCATCGTTGTGTTTTGAGATTCTTGCAGACAATGTATTTGATTACTTATTACTTGTGTTTACAATGCTAACAATACTGGTGTTTACAATGCTAAAAGTGTTAACACTAACGTAAGATGGTGCACAGCTTGCAACAAGAACAAACAGTAATAAACTTATGGAAAGAGGCCATATCAAGACTGCCAAAAAAGCGAGTTATTCAAAATCTAGCAACCATGTCACCTTTTTTAACAATATATCTCTAAAAAACTAAAACAAATTTTCACTTCAAACTCGCCAGAATAACATATTAACATTAATATCTTATGAAATACGGCAGATTTGAGCTCAGAAATTATCTAATTTATTTCTTTTATTGAAAACAAAATTATCTGTTTGAAAACATCGCCTATCAGAATAACCTGTAGTAAGCAGCTGCAAACTTTTTAACCGGAACTAGAGTAGGTGCCGAGCTCGAGATTGTTTACATTTCTATTGAAAACACCATCCATATTTCTGGAATACTGTTTTTGGTGTGTTTTGAAGCCATTTGGCTCACAACGTGATCATTGTATTTCGAGATTCTCTTGAATAGTATTTCTTGTATACGTGTATTTGTTACTTAATTTATTATTTGTGTTTAAAAGAAGAATCAATATGAAAATCATCATTTCAGGACGTAAGAATTGTTATTTGAAAAAAGAATCCTAATAAAGCACCTTCGGATCATCCTCATCAATATACCAAAATTTAATCCTGAAAAATAATTTGTAAAAGGCATTTAATCTCGCCACTCAAGCTATATGCTAACACTAACGTATGATGGTGCACGACTTGCACCAAGAACAAGCAGCATTAAACAAGTAAAAATAGGTCTAATCAGAACTGCCTGAAAAGAGAGTTCTTTCAAAATCTAGCAAACATTTCACCTATTTTTAACAAGAAATCTCCAAATAACTTAAACGCATTGTCACTTCAAACTCACCAGAACTACTTAATATCATTAATATCTTATGAAATACAGCAGATTTGAGCCCAGGAATTATATAGTTTATTACTTTTATTATAGATACAAAATTATCTGTTTGAAAATATCGCCTCACAAAATAAGCTGTAGTAAGCAGCTGTACACTTTCTAACCGGAAGTAGAACAGGTCAAGACCTCGAGATTGTTGTTTACATTTATACTAAGCGCATCTTTGATAAACTTTTTGGCACCTTGGCGTTTGTAGCTACAAAAAAGAAACCTGAACTTGATTGTAACTATTCAAGATTAATTATTGATGGCTACGAGTTCAGTACTTGCATGAAAAAGTAATTTCCTAATTTTACACGTTATTACGTACATACATGTTATTTTCAATCTGAAAACATCTTACCTTTCACCATCTGACTATATTCCAAAATGACCTCTCTTTATGTGTTTAAAATGCTTGTTATTAAGTGTAAGTGTTAAAAAGGGGGTTGAAAATTAATAATAAAGCAAAGGAAAATAAGAACACTATCGATATCTTACAAATTACAGATGAAAAAGAGGACCGAAAACATGAATTTAATCGTAAAAATATTTTAAAGGTTACCGTCACCTCTATTTTGAAGGTCAAAAATCCAAATCTTTCGAAAGTACGTTTTTTTGTCGTATTTCGTAGCTTAAAATATCGTCTGCGCTGCTCTAATTGATTAGCATATCTGAGGTCAGACCTTGGAATCATTAAGATTGAGTCCGGCTTTATGATAATCCGGCCATTGGATCAAAAGGTGTTCAGGATGCTCCGTTTTATTTTGCGCACTGTTATTAAATAAACATTAAAAACGTATTTCCATATAAATCTACTAAGTCGGGCTGAGCAAAGGTAGGCAATAATTCAGTTTATTTGTTTAGCAGTCGTGTAGTGGACTGATCATAAGATACGGCAATCATATTGGGATTGGCAATTTTTCGAAGCATTGGATATTGTGATTTACTGATATTTGTACGATATTTTCCGATGTATCGCTGACGTTGATGTCTACACGGCGATGTTGAGCATTGTTCCCGATAGTATATAGATGTCTGCAAGCTCACGCCTAGAGCAT